GCTCGAGATGCGCGATAAATGTTTTAATCGGAGGTAAAAGGCGCGGCCAACGTCGCGGATTCGCCTCTTGGCGCGTTGGTAAAATTGATTTCCTTTCTCCTCGCGCGAAGTGCAGAAGCAGATAGTGGAAGCTGAGCAGGAGAAGGAGCAGAAGGAGGAGACGGCGCATCGGTCAGAGGCTACAGCCGACGTCCGTCTTGCGTTCGGCGCCGCGAAATTTCCGGCATCATCGTCGTCCACGTAGAGAGACACAAGCCGCTGCTGTGCACGAACGCGCTGCATCGCCGAAGCTTTCACGGCGATTGCTTTTTCGGCGTCGTTTGTCAGCCCGGACGCTCGGTGAGAAATCATTCGACCGTAGAGAGGGCGAAAGAGAGAGAAAGAAAGAGAAAGGGAGGAAGGGAAGGAGCAAGCTCGCCAAGGAACCGAACTCTGCGCCAACCACCTTTGCATCTCCCTCGGGACGTCGCGTTTTATGCGCGGGGAAAATACGGGGATAATTTTAATGCCGCTTTTACGGGAATACCGCTGGAGAACGTTGAATACGTTTTTGTCCCTTCGAGTCGCGCCAGCGAATTGTCGTCGCATTCGAAATTGGACGAAATTATCAAGGACCGTCCAGCAAGTCATTGCGGGATGTTCCGATATAGCTAAACTGCGATTCGATAAGAACGAAGCCTTCCGGAGACGAATGTGTTGTTTTTTTGCAGAACTCGGCTTTAAATTCGAGTCTGTGGGACGGGAAATTAAATTCACGTTTATATTATCGATTAAAGAGCCCTTCTACCGCGGAACGAAAAAGCCGCTGGGGCGTGCAAATAGTTTTTCTCCGTGTACTCAAGCGTCCGATTCTATCTTGAGTAACCTCGTCAACGATCGGGGATTATTTTAACGCAACTTTGAATAGTTCAGACTAAAGATTTGGTTTCGGCGAAAGTCGAGTTATTTTCGATATAGCAAAGCTCGTAAAGGACTCGCTCCTTCGACTCAACTCGAAATGATATCAATGACCTGATCTACGTGAGCCGAGAAATATGTCATTAACTGTTTAACTGTTTATTTGGCCATACTATTCTCAAGTAACGTCGATTTCTCATCTTATCCGGGTTTTATGTAAGAACGATGAATATCAGATCTGTTCGGAACAATATCCAGTCACCTACTCTTGTCGCTATATTGAGAAAAAGGTACTTGAAAATTTAGTTGCGGGAAACAAAGTTTACTCACAGAAATGAACTCTATTTCGCAGAGACAAACTTTGTTTCATAGAAATAAACTTCCCATTTCGCAGGTAAATTTTCAAGTATTTTCTTCTCGGTGTAGACGAATAAAAATCGTTTAAACCGTTAAAAATACGTTTTCAAAACATTTCAGAAACAATATAACTGCACATTCAGGAAACATAATTTGTACTGAGAAAAAAATACTTGAAAATTTATTTGTTATTGTTTACACTGAGAGGAATTATCCGATAAAAAATTAACAAACGGGTATTTCTGAAATACCGATGAATTTTTGTATAATATAATTTTTATAATTTCTCTTGGTGTGATACAAAGTTTATTTCTGTGAAATAAAGTATATTTCTGCGAAGTAAAATTTATTTCTGTATGAAATATAACTTTTGTTTGATACGAATGAATTTTCAGGTATTTTTTTCTCAGTATACTTCACTCAAACGCTCAACAATTTTTTTCCTTACGTTTTTTGGGACCTGCAAAATAAAAGGTTGAATTTGGCGAGTGCACTTCCGCGACTTTATTCCATGAATTTCCGCGGTTGTCCTCCTTTCACAAAGCATCGAGGGATTTTCCCGAATCATGAATTACCGCGTGGAAAACGTACGATTCCCGTCAACTTTCGGCGATCACACGTGTGCAAGAAGTTTCTGCGCGTACGTCAAGAAAGAGCATCGGCGGTGGTGGCGTCACCGGGCTATTTACCCCCTTACTTATTATTTTTTGTGTGCAGGCCAGCAGTCCCGGCCACCCCGCTGCCACGTCGACACACGCGAAACTTTCGCGGAGGATTCCCCGTGGGATCGGTGTCCGTTTCCACCGCGAAGTTGCGCCCTCGAGGGTGGGAACGGCAGTTCGGTAACTCGGGGTTTGGCTTCGGGGGTGACTTCGGGTTAGCAGACAGACCGACACACGATGGCATCGGAGGGAACTTCGCGGAGTTCCAACGTTGACGGCGCGAATTGGCGGGGGTAGTTAACGATAATGCTGGGCTCCGCGACGCGAATTGAAAGACGACGACGATTAAGGAACGACGATACGTCCGCGATGCTGTTTTTCTTGTGTTGTGGAGTTCGGTCGACACGATCTATTATTAATCGACGTTTTTCTTTTTCTTACTCTTGTACTTTGGCGGAAATGAAAAAGTATGAGATGTCTAATAACACTTTTCCTCCTTTTGTTCTGAAACGTTCCGAAACTCTTCTTTGTGCAAAAAAGAATATCAGCGTTATCAGGCATCACCAGAGTAGCTTTACGTAAGAAAGCTTTACGTTCATCAAATTTGATTCTACCGTACACGTAGGAGAAATTTCAGTTCGTGTGACTGGATGGGGACTAACCAGATAAAAAAACTCGTTGACGAGAAGTGAAATTCTGTTACTGAGAAATTATATCTCAATTATAATTGCGATCGAAAACACTTGTCTGAACATAAAGGTACATTAAAACCCAGTCGATAAGAGAAAGCAATTGGCTGAATAGGAACCTCCTCCTTCATCCGAATAGATACAATCTTATTTTTAGCGAAATCTTCTTATGCATAACCTCAGGAGGATTCTTTGAAAGCCATAAGGAAATATTCTAAGCACAATATTCTTAAAGTCAGAGAAATTTCGTCTTTTACCTACAAATATTGTTCTTGATAAAAGTTTCTTCCAATAAGGAGGCATTTCAAGTGTTCCTCTTTTTCTCAAAAGGCAAAGGGCAGTATCTAATGGATTTCCGATTAATGGTGCACTTTATCAAAAGAAGAACACTTTGGAAGGAGGACATTCTTGTAGTTATCCGGAATGCGATACACTACAGGAAAATAGCACTTTGCAACTAGATTTCTTTTCTTTGCGTGTTAGAATATTTTTCTGTTGTTTTTCGGGGGATCCTCCCGAGGCCGTATAAAGGAAGATTCCGTTGAGAATAGAATTGTCTATTTTTTGAGTGCCTCTTGTGCCTGCAACCAAAAGTTTCCCTCTGGTCCTCGCTTTTTTTGGGTAAGGGAAAATTCGCGGAGTTGCTTTCTTCCATGCTACACGAGCGAAAGCCACAACGGCGAAATGTAAGGCAACCGCGCCCACGCACTAATGCCAATCCCTGGTCGAATTCCGTTAATTGATACGCTGGCGAGCGCATGCTAATTAATTCGCTGACAAATTTCATTCGAAGCGACCGTTCGTGCGTCCGAATTACGCGGCGAGTTAACTAGTTCCGATGACGACCGTGTGCACGATGACACGTGCAAGTCGCAAGTAGTAGTATGCGTGGCAGACAGTGTATCACGCGAACCGGGAGGGCTGAAAGAGGACGCAGAAGGGAGGGAGAGGAAGTGGCGGAGAAGGGTATGCGGGATGCATTGGCGCGCGCCCGCGCCCGAGGGATCGTTCATAAATTATGGACGCATTAATTATAACGGAGTTTGCGGACGCGCGAGTGTTTAGATTGACTTGACGGCGAAATGGCCGTGGCGTCTCTCGCATGGTCGCGTCACGCGTTCAACGTTGCCTCGATATGGTCGGCCAGGGTGTGTGCAAGAGGCCTGGGTATCGGCTTAATTAACTAGCCCGCGTGAATAACGCACACCGGCTTCGCATACGAGCCGGTGATCTCACGACCTCGCGCGCGCCCACAACGCGTCCATTGCGCCGAGACCATTCTGTCGTTCCTCTCCGTGTCTCGGGGGGTTGCTGGCCCGATCAGCTCTCCGCTGCTCGAGGCATCGAAGTCACCGTCATCGACGGAGCCCGGCGCGACTCGTCACCGGGCACGAGATTGCGGGCATCATTCAATTGTTATAACGCGTCGTTTGGATTCTCTACGGACACCAACAGTGCGCCACTTAGCTCGATCTAGCTCCCGCGTCCCTCGTGGACTCGTTTCCGACACGTTCCATGGACATTCGAGTCCACTTCCTCGGCAGGAGAACGGCTTGAGAAGAGGTCTCCTGAAGAAGCGGACTGGAATGTTCAATGTCGAAAATAAACTCACGTAGGATGCGTGCAGCTAACCAGAAGCCAGATCAAACATTTCACCGCGGAGAGCTAACAAGGGAACTTCATTAGGCTGAAAAACACTCCGTTATTTTTGGATTTACTCGATTAAGCTTCTCTTAAAACGTTTTCTGGCAGCCGCTTTTTTTGCCGTAATCTGACAATCGAGAAGACGGGTAAGAATCTCGGGATACCAAGTGAACTGTGCGTCGTACATTTTTCAAAACACAGCTATTTGTCACTCTCTGCACGTGTTTACATGTTATACACGCCGACTCGGTTTTCCACTTAGATTTTCATTTGGTTCGACTAATTCACTGGACGAAAAAACGCGTTAAATGTTGGAGATTTAGTGCACGAAAAAAAACAATGATTGTGTCAACTAGAGATTAGTAAAATATGACAGCTCTTATTTTTGGCTTCATTAATCAATTCTTGGTTATGTTGACCTATGCGATATTATACATTAGCACTACAACTCGTTGCCTGAAAGAAATGCATTTTTGAGGCGACGAATCGGTTTCCTTGCAAGATGTGAAGTGCGCTACTTTGAAGTTTCGTTTCATGGGAAGCGAGGACGATTTGATGTCGCGAGTGAATCCACAACATCGTCTCCGATTGTTTCTTACGAATGCGCGAGACTAGTGTACGAGATTGTGAAGTGAGGCGCGTGAGCGTTTTGAGAAGCGATCGAAAAGTCAGTTCACAGGCGAGCACAGCACAGCGTTTGGCATGCGGCGATTCGCGGAGAAAGAAGTGAAGCAAGAAGTATGACACAGACCTCAGAGGTGTTGGCGACATCATTTGTTGGGCTACTGACCGCGTTGTTGGAGTGCGTTTGATCCGTCTTGAGTTCGCGGTGATTGCTGAACTGCACATAGACCGCTCTGCCTCTGAGCTGGGCTATCGCGGAAGCATAGTAGGTCACCATGGTAGCCGCAGCACCCTCGTCCGCCAATTCCAGAAATGCCTGCAACAACAGAAGAGGAGATCCCTCGTTAGTCGAGCGACGAGCGGAGGAGTTCGTTCGGTCTCGAGTGTCGCATCATGAGAGGCGGCGCACAGGAAGGCCGCCGAGTCATTAAAGCGTCCACGTGTGTTCATGAACGTACTTTTCATCGGCGTCGCCTCTCGTCGAAAAACGACGTGTCTCGTATAATCGACTCGCCGATGTCGAATTGTTCGCCTCGTCCTTCGCGATAATGACGCCCGACCACGACGGGTGTTTCGCCACTTAAGGAACATTACGCGCACTTTCGTCTGACTCGATTAAGTAGTTACGTGAGTTACGCGTCAGACAGCACTCGCCGCGCCACCACCGAATCTGCCGTGTATAAACACGCTTTCGCTGCTTTTCACGCCTCGTTCGTTTTCCCGCACAATACCCGCGTTCACGTTTTACGGTATTGTCACTCGCTAGGTATTATCAGAGAGGCCGTCAGCTCTGGGCAAATTTTCGTAAAAGCAAAAGGAAGGGAATTGAAGAGGGATGACGTTATTGACCATTTTTACCATCTATGTATACAATATAAAAGGAAATATCTGTCTATCTGTTTGTTTCCTGTAAACCCTTTTGACTGATCTGGACTCAATTTTGCATGGCTATTTGTCACACAGTGCGCTCAATTCGCGACGAAACAGGAGGACAAACTGTCTCGAATTTTGCGGGATATCCTGATTTTTGGCTCTTTATAGAAACGTCTCGGAGGAATTCTAGACGCAGTTTGTTACAATTTATCATATAACTTAAAATAAATAATGTAGAACATTATCATTCCTTATGATTTGTGCAACGAGAAAAAAGCACATTTCATGTTGATTATTTATTGCATTTATGTCTCGTTGATTAAAAGTAATAGAAGTTGATACTGACCTAATAACATAAACATTTTACTTGCCTACGTGTATCTAATTTATTCGACCTATTTTGAAAATTAATATAAAAAAGACATATATATATGCATAATAATCAAGAAAGATTACAAAATATCGATTATAAGATTACAAAATATTATAACGTTTATACGTTAATATTGATGTATTGTATGATATTTTGTAATCAATATTCATATACGTTAATATTGACGTATTATATGATATTTTGTAATCTTTCATGTACTAATATTTTGTAAGGTCGGTATCCCGAAGTTGGCCGATTAAAAGTTGCTCACGCGAGTGTCCGGCTCACTCGTTCGGTGACTTTAAGCCGGCCTGATCTCGGGGAAACCATTCCGCGAGATTTCTCTCCGATTTATGCGCGGCGACGTAAAACATGGAAGGAAGGAGCGGAAAGCATTTTTATATTTACCTCGGAGCGCAAGTCGTAATGGAATATTTGAAACTCGCATCGCGTAAACACGCTCGGGACAGACGGCAAAATTCAAGCGCGAGAGAAAAAAGCGCCGGCGGCACGCGGGGGAGGGGAAAACTCTTGCTGCTACGAGGAATTTCATTTTAATTACGCCGTGCCGCGCGATCGAGTAATACACGCGCGATTGGCCGCCCGCGTGCATAATCGCCCCTTCTATCGTCCGATACACCATCTCGAATCTCGCTCGCTTCGGTGAACGCGTCTCTTTATTCGGGCCGATTCCTCCCTATCGTCCAGCCGTATTACGTATCGTAATAATTTATATTGTTACTTTGTTGGAAATATAAAAGTGGATCGTGCAGCCGAAGGAAAGAAGAGCGCCTGGATCGTTCGTTCGTTCGTTCGAGAGAGAGGGGAGGTTGGGGGGAGGAAGAGACTCCGAGAGAGAACATTTCGCCTGAATTCCCTTTTCCTTTGAGTGTTCATAAAATTAATAATCCCGTATTTCTGAATGTCCTCGTGCGCAACTCGGCGTAAAGGAAAATTCCCCGAAGACTCGGTCGCGAAGTCGCATCCGCGACAGTCAAGTGGTACGTTTATCGGGGAAACTTACTAAAAAGCATTACACCGCTATCGTCCCCCGAGCGTTTTATTATCGCGACCAGCGACGAAAGGGAGAGAGGGAGGGAGGGAGAGAGGTAAGAGCGAGTGCAGTACGAGAAGGAAGACTGCGAGGATTTTGCCCTGAAGCGGAAATCGAGCCGGAATATAGAGAGTAAATTCGTTCAGGAGAGGGAGAGAGAGAGAGAGAGAGAGACGGAGCGGGGCAGGAGACAGAGACCGAGAGAGAATTAATAAAACGTCGCGTAATCGTCGTCGTCGGATAAGCAAGAGGTTTCGCGATAACTGTATTTTCAAGCTCGTAATCTATAGGCGGCGGATAAGCAAACGGATGAGAAACGGATGACAGCAAAAAAAGGAAGAAAGAGAAGGAGAAAGGAGAATGTTTATGCACAGATCGCGGTACGTTTGCGCTGCGTTCGTTCCCCCGTCGAGTTATATGAGCTCCTCTTGCCGTCTCTCGCCCTCCCTCACCCCTTCCGCGCGATCAATTTTCAATTCAATATCGACGCGCTCGGCATCGGTCGCGCTGCTCTTCCGCTTCGGAGCGGAAGTCCCCTCTCTCCTCCGTGCGGCCGGCGCTTGCCTTTTCACGTCGAATCGATATTACTTAAAGCCTCATCGTGTCCCCTCGTCATGGCCCGAGGAGAAAGACGCGGCTGTGCTATCGGAGTGAGCGAACGATGGCTTTTCGTGTACAAAAGTGCGGCGCCGGCCGCTCGATTCCGCGAGGATCGCGGCGACTCAACCGGAGCTGTCGTTGCAGGGTAACGACAAACGAATGACCAAGCGTAGGGAGCTTATCTCGTCATGGTTATTACTGTGCGCGTCTGGCTTTGTCATCCCTGAAATTTTATCGTCTCTCGCGCGGATAAGAAGCTGAAGACAGTAGTAAGTCCGTCGGATAACGTTCGTATTGTGACACACACTTCCGTGCGAGATTTCCGCGAGTTCAACGCCGAGCAGTGCAATTTTTATGCGGACAAAGCATCCATCTCGTTGATATTTGCTTTACGTCCTGCGAGCTTGTCATAAAATCCCGCCGAGTAACGAGTCGGCAATGCGTCGTTATCGGTAATTGTTCAGCGTTCGCGTTATTTGACTCGCATCCCGAGCGTAAATCTGCTCCGCTCGCGGTGCACATCCCGGTCAATGGGCGAAAATAAGTAAAGTAGGAAAGAACAGTAACATTGAGCAAAATCTATCGATTATCAGACCTGAATTTACACTGAGGGAAAAAAGCAGTTGGATCAACAAAATCGACCATCACGGCTATCAAAGAAATATTGTATCTATTTAGCAGTATTCAACGCGATGATACAACAATAAGGAGCGTTGAAATCATTATATTTGCATTGTTATAGTGATATTAACGTAATTTATTGTTACACTAACGTGTATTTTGTTGAATAGATCCAATATTTCTTTGATGGCCGATGACCGCCGATTTTGTCGAACCGCTTTTCTTTTCAGTGTAGTTAGGTTCGAATTTTGTGCTCGGATCATATAGTACAAGCGTCATATGGGACAAAAAGATGGTCAACAGAATGTCGATCTATTCCTGGACTACAAAGTTCTATGGTAATTTTTACTACATAATCTCGATCGAGTAGTTATCGTTGCAAATTCATTTCTCATCATTTGTCATTTTGGCAAACATACATTGCCTGAGATACAAATCACACTCGTTCTCGTCTTTTTCTCGGTCGATTAAGTTAGGTTATCATCCATTCACATTCTGTGCAATTCCATTGCACAGGAGTGTTGTTTACAGCAGCGGATTGAAGGTAATAAACTATTTGCTCCCACGTGGTCATTAGTCTCATATCAACAGACCATACGTTGCGGGTACTGGTATTTTGTTAAATGAGCAAAATAACACGTAATCGCGCGATTCAAACGAAAAACTCGCATCTAACTCTAAATTCGAGTCGGAGTCGAGTCCTCACTCTCGGGACATGTAACGACTATTAGTACGGTTGTGGGAGTTTCAAGCTTGGTGTTTCGCGCTTACACTGCGCCTCCATACGCCTCACCGTGTTAATGTTCCAGTTTCAAACTTTTCCCTTATTTTACTACTTCGCCCCTACGCAATACAGTTTACTCGGTATCTCCGCGAATTTATTGGGTTTATGACGTCGCGTTATAATATAATATCGACGTGCGAACATCCGTCGCACAAACACAAGCGGATGTATGGGTGCGCGGAGAAGTGAGAGTGACAAAAATTCGACGACGAAATTGGAATGAGATTCCAGACAGGGAGATACCCGCATAGGAATTTCGTAGTATTTTCCCAAATGCAGGTTAGGTTCCAATCAGAACGTCCAATTTTGTCCCAATAGATCATCCCACTACAATACCAACTGGGAATTCCACACTGAGATAAATTATCCAATAAAAAATTAACAAACGGACATTTTCGATAAAATTCCGGTCAATTTTTCAAAGATCAAGGACAACTATTTTGTTAAAACGTAAAGTAATATATTTGTTTTATATGTAAAATATCGAATACATCCGAAGATAACTTGACGATTTTATACATTTGTAAGTCGGGAGAATTTTTCTGACTTTCTTAACTCAAACGCCTTCTATTATAATTTCTTCATAATAAATTTTTTCGCAAACATTAATATTTATTCTTTACAAGTATGTGTACTTGTAACGATTGCATATATACATATATATATAATTGTAATATATACTATGTATATATATATATATATATATATATATATATATATATATATATATTTGTAACGAATAAATACTCAAAGTGTTTTATATATTTTGCACAATTTTAGTTTAAAATGTAAGCCAGAAAAGATCTTTGAGAAAACGTTGGGGACGACCAAATGGGATCTGTCTGGGTTTCCCACTTTTGCATGATTTCCCAGACTCGCATGTTTAAAACATTACACTTCTAACCAGAATCCGCCTAGATTTCTCACCTAGAACCTATGATTATTGTGAGAGATCGGACTGGATTCCGATCAGGTCGTATTTTCTGTACGGGATCGAGATATTCGCCGCGC